CTGCTCCAGCACTCTCCCCCTCCCCCCTCCCGGACTGTAATTTAGGAGCATGACATTAGCCCATCACATGAGTTTTGGGGGCATTAGAACGTGGGTGAAGAGTAGAAGCTATGGGGTCACAATCCTGAATTCTTATTTTTTTCAACTGTTGGAACTGAGGCCATTGCGTCCGTCAAAACCTTGCTTTTTCTTCCTCATGAAAAAGGGGCTATTGATCGCACCTGGCTGAAAGCTCCGAGCGCAGGGCCTGCCAGGTGGGTGGGAGTCATGTTGTTGCGGTCACTGAGACAGTGCATAGCTCTTTGACCTCTTGACCGCTTCTAGAAGGCTGCCGTGATCAGAAGTCTGATTGAGGAAGTGAGTAAATGTCTCAGTGCATTTTGCTGATGACTCTTCAGTGTTGTCCTGATTGATCCATGGGCGGACTTGTTTCCAGCACATGGCCCGTCACAGGTGCTGGATTCCAGCTGTCAACACACCTGACCAGGGAGGGGCAGACGAAGGCTCTGGGAATGGGCCAGGCAGCAGGTGCTGAGCAAAGTCTCCAGGAAAAACCAATATACGAACTTAAGGACTCAAAGGCTCAGAAGTCTTCTGGAAAGGGTTCAATAGGGAGCCAATAGCAGATACTTGGAAGAGTTACTGCTTCTGTCAAAAACCATGTTTTTGAGTATTACTAAGCGCCAGGCTTTATGGTGTCTTCACAACTCTGTCTCCTGGAGTGCAGCAGGCCAAGGAAAGGACTTCAGAAGGCCTCTCCGTGCCGTCAGCCACCGTTCTCACTTGACTTCTCTATGTTGCAACCCCAGGAAGATGGCTTCTCGGGTGAGGCTCAAAACAACGGTGGGCAGATGCACGTGCGTCAGGAGAGGCCCCTGACCCAGTGCTCATGCTCCACTTCAGAGTCCTGGGAGGGGCTTTCAGTGACTCAGATTTGGTTCTGACCTCCTAGGGGTAGAAACTGGATTCACGCTCTGACTTGGGTCACATCCCAGCACTAATGGGCAGTGCTAGGGAAATGCTAGAATGGAAACTGGGCTGGGTCTGCCTTCTGGTTCTGGTCCTGAAAAATAGCAACTGAGTGACAGTGGACAAGGCCCCTTGCCCCTCTGGGTCTCACTTTCCACCGTTTTAACAGGAAAGGGTTGGACTAGTTCTAACCCTTGCTGGTTCCATCCAGCAGCTCCAGTTCGGACAGGCTCTCAGTGAACGCCCCCTGCTATGGGCGTGCCACTGAACACTTACCACATACCAGTCACAGTGCTCACCAGTGCACACAGAAATGCTCATTCTGGCATCACAACCACCTATGAGGTGATACCATCTGATGATTACTATTTTATAAAAAGTGCTTCAGAGGGAAAAGCCCTCTTTTAGGAGAATCCAGCAAGTCGTAGAGCTGAGAGACTCAAACTTCTATCTGGAGTGGGCGATGATGAGGTCAACAGAAAAACAAAGCAAAACACGAAAAGCTTCCCTATGGACTCCCTAGAAACCCCGGGCATTTTCTTGTGCTGGAACATAGCAACAAAAACCTCCTACCAACTAATCAGGGGCTTAGATTGTCTTTTCCATTCCTGTCCCCCTGTGGAGTCTCCCGTATGACCTTCCCTGGGCAAA